ACCTAGCATTTAACATGGATTACTCTTTCTTTATATTCATGCACTATGCTTACTTTGATGACTGAACAGCTATGACATAGCGTTTTGACAGAAATGCATCTATAAGAATAGATACAAGAACAGAGTGCGACCATTGCTTTATGGGCCAGACCATGGCAACTAATTCATGCTCGTTAGTTGTCCTTGACCCTGATGAGTATCGGTAAAACGTCTGACAATCATTAACCCAAAAGCCGAAAGACTTGACTAGGTTCAGTGACATTCCACTGACCCTACACAGTAAACAAATTAACACCTAAATAAAGCGACGTAGAGATTACGATTTTATGAACGAACAAATCAGATTCATGACTGTCATTGATTTTGATGCAAAGCTCAATCGTTTAATAAAAAAAGTACGATGACTGGGGTCATTTCGTAAAGAAAGGCCTAACTCTATTTCACAACCTTAACATCCGAATCCTTGTCATTGTTCCTCACCCTAATTTATTAGCCTAATTTATCCATAAATTATAATAGGTATTATAAATAGGTATTCTCAAGGTCGGTCAAAGGTCGTATGTCGGACTTAGATTTGTGCAGTAAGGACAGAAACCCTACAGCATATGTCATCCCTTTTCTAGTATGTTTCTGTGAGTGTCTAATCTTCTCTGGAGTGAGTCAACTGAAGGTGCAGACACCACTGCTTCAGGTGACAGATTGTACATCAGCGTATAGTAACGTTGAGGACTCAACTATATCTGGGAGTTCATTTACATACAGTATAAGAAGTAAAGGACCTAGGACAGAAACTTGCGGTACTCCACTAAGTATTGGTCTCCAGGTGGAGCACTTCCAATTGACACTTACTTTCTGTCTACGACCTACCAAGCCATTCTAGGAGAGGTCTGGCAATGTCTAGATTTTCCAGCTTCACGAGCAGTCTGCTCGTTGGCACCTTATCAATTGCTTTGCTAACTTTTATGTAAACACTATCCACTGATTTCCCAATTGTCTAGAGCCTCTATCCATTGCTTCCTTGCTATGAAGAAGTTTGTTGTGCAAGATAAACCTTTTCTAAAACCATGTTGTTCACTGTTTAACAAGTCGTTGGCTTCCACAAATATTATTATGGTCTTTTGACTATTCTATCCGGTATTTTAACTACGACACTGGTGAGGCTGATAAGTCTGTAGTTTGATAAAAGCTGTCTTGGTCCTGTTTTATGTTTTGCAGTGACAATTGCATCCTTCCAGTCCGTAAGTAACACACCTTGGCCAAGTAACACTGAATATCAGTCAGTGGGGCTGTAATATATTATGCAATTCGTCATACAATTTCGGGGTGTAGTTCATCCGATCTTGTTGACTTTTCCGTATCTAAAGTGATAAGAGCCCTAAATGCATCTTCTCGATCAAAGTCCACGGTGAGCATATGGTTTGTTGACTTCGTATTTGGGTCTAATACTTCGTCTAGAAGAGGCTGCTGAATGAAAACTGCCCCGAAAGTTTGCCATAGCCTCTGCTTTTTCCTTATCATTTCAGATCCACTCCCGTAATTAGGCTGGGAATCCAACGCTGCGTCCTTGTTCTGTAATTTATGTACGAGAATAGTCTCTTAGGCTGTTTGATTACAGATCAGGCTAACTACATTTCATATTTTCTCTGAGCTTTCTGGATTGTAATTTTACACTTATTTCTTACCGACCTGTAGCGTTCCATTGTACTCGCTGTCCCCAGGCTGATAGAAATGTTCCAACATTTCTTTTGTCTTAGTAAACGTTAAATATCCCGGCCTATCCAGGGATGGTCGTACTTCTTCTTTGGGACTCTCCAGGGTATATATGGTTGAATTACCAGATTGTATAACTGCCTAAGATTAGTTCATGCTTCTTCTACTGATGCTCCTGAGTCAATTTTTCAGTTTTCAGCCGATGATGTAGAGTTTATCGCCTTCATGTCCGCTTCCCGTATGTTAGGACCGACCGGTGCAACTGTTTGACAGGCCATCTGAGCCATAAATCTGAACGAGATGACTGCATGATTCCTTCTGACTAGAGGTGAGAGAAAAGGCATTTGACCGACATCATCACCGTATGTGAAGATTAAGTCCAAGAGAGGCGAGGAGCTTCGTAGATCATATGTGGTGGGATCTCTAATGTTCTGGAATAAAGCTAGAGCAATTGTGGTTTCTGACAATTTGCAATAAAATGACTTCTAAATTTACCTACGTTATATACGGTGCATTAAATTCCCCTACTATAAGGCTTTTATCCCTATTACACCAGGACTTAAGTTTGCTTAGGAGGAAGTCATCTACCACGCGTTCTGGACTGCGGTATACTACAACTAATTCAATATCTTGCCTTATACATTTCAGCCTGCAACGCACCAGTTCACATGTCCCTGAATCATGTACCACTTTCTTCACAGCTCGTATTGTTAAGGCACTTTCGTATACAGGATAACCCCACCTCCCCTACGGTTTAGTCTATCAGCCCTACTGGATAAAAAAAACCAGTCATTAGTTACAGCCTTACCGTTAAGTGAATAGAAAGTAACAGAAAATATTTTCTTTGACATTTTTGCTGTGCAATGAAAAATGATTGGATTTATATACGTTTGTCCCTGAGTGAACTGAAGGTGACCTTAGCGTCAGCGAAGGCTATCAACTCAAATGTGATTCCAGCCCTCTGATTTCAGTTTTTAGTTATGAAGTAGGGTCGACTATAGGCTATGACAATATCATCTGAAATATCAGTTAAGCATGTTGCACGTATACTTCTCATTCGTCAGAATCCAAGGATGTTTGTTTGTAGAGACATTCTGACATCAGAAACTCTTAATAATTCGGAAATATTATGAACTCCGCCTGTAGCTCCTCTGGGTGTTACTGCCGGTCCCAAGCCCGGGTAAAGGAGGAGGGTTGGGCATGGGGTTAGCGACCCCATCCCGTAGAAAATCAACTCGCTAAAAAAACGCTAACCAGAAAAAATCATTCAAACCATAATTATTATGAACATTAGTTGTCAAAAAGCTTATTATTTGTCATTTGATATGATCCAAGTTTATGGCAGTAAAGTAGGTGAGTTATCGCTCGTCCACTATGGCATCGCCAACAGATCGTTCATGAATTACAGTCTCACTAGAAGTTTTGGAAAAAAATTCTTAGAATTCGACTTACTGAATTTTAGAGAGTATTAGTTTTAATTGGCCTAAATCAGATCACTCTTGATGGTATAACTAATAGTTTCAACAAGCACATTTATGCATAAACATTCTAATTTATAAGTTTTCTTGCTGCAGACAGAGCTGCTAGTATACTACTATCGATCCTAGTGTGTACAGAAAATTATATTATATATCTTTGAATTATCCTAGAGTGACATCACAAAGTGGTATATCTGTTGCTTGATCTAGTACAGATATTGTTTCCGTTATTTTCGCACACATATCTTTGTGACTTTTAATCTAAATAATTCGAAACTGCCGTTGAATTGTTATTCACAGATGCGAAGACACTGAAGAAATATCTTCCTCTGCTAAAGATTCAGTCACAGCGTAGAACTTCGTACGTACGTACATCAGTTCGAGCTGCCATGCCACATTATCTTCTAAAGATTATTGAACCTTCATTCAGACTATTACACCCTTATTTACGGAGCCTTCTTTTAAAATGGTATGCATTATCTGACCCGTAGTTATGGCCTGAAAAATAACTATCCGTTGGTAAAATAAATATATTAATTATAGAAGGGGTTTTGTGGAGATTTAGTATTTATTATAGTTGAACTATAATAAATAAATATATTCCTATCTTTTTTTTCGAACTAGAAGCATAATAAATAGAATTAATTACTGGACCTATTTATGCTATGAACTATTCTAATATCTATAGTTTACACTGTATTTAGCTGTAATAGGCGTTTCTGGGAAATTTATTCTTTTATTCAAAAACGAACAAGAAAATCTTAGCGCTCAGATGACTCGAACACAGCTCTAGTATTTCCAACTAACTCACCGGTTACTACAACTGTTACTTCACAAGAAAAAAGTTGATTTATGTTTCCATATTAAATATGCGATTTTTTGTATCACTTAAAAAATGTTTTGCAATAAATATTTGTATTCGATTCATTGTTTTGATTTTCTTTCCAGTAACGTTTGTGAATAAATCTCGTCTTTCATTTAAAATATCCTCTTATTTCTCAATAGAGAATGGTCATAATTAGCAACATGACTGTCAAGATTTTAAAATGACTAAGTTAACTATTTGTGGAACTTTATCTCTTTGCTTTGGTCAATTCCGTATGTAGTATTTACAACTCATTTAAAACATATAGCTAGTAGACTCAACAACATTGTGTCTACTGACATGAATCATAATCTAGCTAACTAGCAGATTACTTTTTTGCGTATAAGGTCGCACACCCTGAAATCAGTTACAATTGAACGCGATTGAGGTAGATACTTGATACTGAAATGTGTATCATCTGATGTACATCATTTGTTATCTGATCATGAAAGTGTATGATGTCAAATAGAGGAAAAATCCTGGATTTTATTCTATGAGGCATCACAGTAGACAACTTGTAGTTTCTTATTCAAAGCGACATCAAGAATATTTGCTTATTTAGGTATTCAATTACAATTTAATTTGCCACAGTGTCTGCAGTTGTTTTGAATGACTCACTGCCCCGGACATTTCAGCCTACATCCGCAGGTTTCAGTCTACAGCACTCAATCCTTACACCGTATGATTGGTTCACAGTTGTATGGATAACAAGCTTCCTGCTGGTTTCTACTCTGTATGTATCGAGAATTCACGATCTGTAGTCATTTTTTGAAATTTGTAATCTTGGTAGGAATTTACCCTATTTTTCTATTTCTAATCTAGATTTGTTAGATGCGAATACCTCATGGGTTATTTTTCTATTGATTAGTCATACGTGTTAGTGTCAATAGATGTGATTAAAAAGTCAGTAACACTAACAACTTGTTTATTTTAACCTTTTAGAAAGAATGACCATCATATTAGGCATTGAAGGCAGTGCCAACAAATTAGGCGTTGGGATCGTTCGTGACGGTTCAGTGCTTGCAAATCCGAGGGTGACATATATTACTCCACCTGGTGAAGGTTTCCAGCCCACAGAAACAGCTAGATTTCATCAGTCTCATATTATTGAACTTGTTCAGAAAGCCATTAAAGAAGCGAGAGTTGACCCTTCCGAGTTGGATGCTGTTGCTTACACTAAGGTTTGTTTGAAAAAATCCACCCAACTGCACATGATGAACTTTTTTAGTGATAAAATTGATTTTGTTTTTGTCATTATAATTCCAAAAGATATTTTAATTACCTTAACGTAACTTCATTTCGAGGTTTATATTTTATTTTATTTAAACATAAATATTGGTACACCTCACAACAAGAAAATAAGGCTATGAAGAGACAGAGTATTATATAATATGAAAAGCAATTCATTGAAAAAATACAACCAGGTAGAATTCTTTCAGCTAAAGAAATACTTCTCACTTTTATAATATATGTTGAGAAAACTACAACAGGATTGCTGTTAGATTTTGTTCTAAGCCATGTCTGATAACGTCTCAAGCCTTTGAGTTGTACTATCTCTCGAACCCCAACTGGAGATTAACAATGAGCTGGAAAATGTAAACATTATACACCTTTCTTACATACCTCGGCACCATGTCACAAAGTAACCATCTCCGCTTTTTCTAACAAGTTCCATCGTCAGTCTATAATACACGATGTAGAATCCACTCGGGCAACTTTCGTAAAACATGTCCAGGTCACAGAAACCGGTGTTTCATGATGGCGAATACCAACTAAAGTTTCGTCATTGTACCCGAGCTTCACTAATATGATTTTACCACTGAGTATCACCATTACTTTAGAGACAACGATGATTAAATGCAGAAAGTTGTCTAGCATCCTTAACTCGGAGGAACTAGACTTAATAAGCATGAAACAAATATGCTCTCAGGAACGCTCTGTAGACCCAAGATATATTTATCTGTATATTTGGATTTTCCTCAACATCAATGCTGCTTTCTAAGCTAGTGACAGTAGGTTTATCGCATACGTTAGTGTACGTTGCTCATTCGATCGACGAGTAGTAGGTTTTCAGTTAAAACGACAGAAAATCAAATGAGTAATCCAAAGCACTTTCTAATATTCTGATTCACAACTCACCTGTCTACTCAGTATAACACCAAACTTCAACGAACTGTAATCTACAAACCCCGACAGGTATGTTCTGACTGCTTATAAAGTTTCCATTTGATTTCACTATTTGTGAACACAAAACCAGATGACCATCTCATCGTAGTTCTACTTCCAGAACCTTAATTCTATCTATTTATAAAGCAAACAGAGACATCTTACAACAATTAGAAATTTCCTCTTGTTAATTAAGTCCATAACTAATCGATCAAATCCTTTAAGCACCCACGGCGTCAATCTAGTCTGATGTATCTGTAGGCTATCCCTGTTGCATGTGACCTGCCAATTAGAGGACACTATTATCCTATTATATTAGTGTGACTCAATTTTTATATTTTCGATAAGACACGCAATACATGTCAGTATATTTGTGCGTTTCACTTAATGACCATAATTCCTTTAATTATTGTTCTAATCAATTTGTTTTTACGTTTAGAAACAGATAAAGTTTAAAGCCGTTATCCCTGTTCTGACTATAGCTTTCACATAGACTCTGGGATCTCCAGTATCGCGTTTACAGTTCTAGTAGTATATCTGTGGGACAAATCAAATCCTACACCTCTAATTTTCTTATCGAGAATAAAATAGTCCTTCACGAATAAATATTTTTTATTGAATCATTATAGTTGCATATAATTCCCAGTCGCACTTTGCTTAATTCTGCTGTCTATTCAGGATATTTAATATGAAAAGTCTTCTTTGGTTAATGCTACTGCTTTTGTTTGTATTAGTCGGCTCCCAAATAATTTGCTAGTTGTAGATTTTTTCTTTTGAGAGGATGGGAATAAAAGGGACTGATTCTATCTTTTTATTTACAAGCATGAATTATCACACTGTATGTTTTCTTTGCCGAAAAAATCTTCCTACTTATTAAGCAAAAATGCAATGAATATAGTGTATATGCTGTTAGCCTAAAAAAGGAGACCCGCTAGATGTATTCATTGTCACGATTTTGAAATCTGTCTCTAAATACATACTCGAATATTCTCAGTTTTCCGTTCCACTTTACCTTGTTTGATTTAGGCACCGGGGTATTCTCACTAGCCTTCACACACAAAGTATGGCTTTTAACTAAATACTCGAGACCGTACTTCATGAGTCAAATCATTATTACATTGGGAGATCATTTATCAGCGTTCATCATAAACTTATGTGTTTTTTACTAATTCCCATTTTTTGATGATTAGCTTAATTGAATGAATATTATCATATGATTTAGTTCATTTCAGTAAACATTTCTAAGATGAAAATTTCTTGGATTAGTAGGTTTATTTTGTGACAGTAACATTTTCATGATTTATACCGACTGTTCATAGTTAATTAAGTCTACATTCTTTCGCCCATCCCCTGATTATCTACAGAAGTCGTTAAGCCTTGATTGCAATTTTATTCTCTTTTGTTTGATTACGTATTAAATTTCTAAATAAATTCAATACCTCCCTACTGAAATTGTTATAAAAATTCCAGTTTATTTGATCTAAAACATCCGGTTTCATATAAGCTTGTTTACTGATAGTAACAATAATTATAATTACAATACATACTAATCTTTTATTAAAGGATCCATACCTACCATGATCGTCGTTTACATTGATTTCGACGATATTCTATAAATATCCAATTACATTTTAATGACTGTTTACTGTGTTCTTCCTATTTCATAAACTACGATTAAAATATCACAAAATTTGTAAAACTTCTATTATTATAGCGTTCTCCTACTAGTAGTAGTATTGTAGCTATTCATTATTTATTGGTCTAAGCACAATTTATTATATATGCATATACCCAATAAGAGTAGAGGATAAAGATACATCATCCTCTATTGCCAAACATATAATCGAAACAGGTCATAAGATTGATCTTAACTCGGCTTTTGTTGTGTTGTTTAAAAGTGTAAAAGGGCGTATACTGAGGTTTATTGAAGCCTTAGCCACACGAAAATTCAAACCCCCTTTGTGTATTCAAAAACAGTTTGTTCTCTCCTTAAACCTACCCTGGTAATATATGCTTATTATCCAGAGTGATTAGGTGTCAAATTGTTTATTCTTACCCCCATTTCCAGTCTAGTTGACCTTTGATTTTTACATATAAATGTTCTTAACAATTATATGTGTGATCAGATTGTTCGAAATTTATTGCGCTAATATATCACATAGTTCTGATAATCTTCGTCTTATTACATTATCGAAATTTATCAAAGGGGCTAATTGCTTTAAATATACTCTTCGTTTATTTTCTTTTACCCCCTCCCACTCTTTTCTTTTTCCAAATATACGCTTCATTGAATAGGAATAATATATATTATTCCTATTCAATGTCTTACATCAACTCGGCGCTCAAATACTGTGAAACTATTCGCTCTAATTTAGACGAGAGTTCTTATATACGCCTCATTGTCCAATTATCTGAACACTTATTATTACGCAATCTTATAATTTTTATGAATGCTATTTCGGTGTCCATATTTTTCTAACCATCGACCTATTTCCTATTATGAAACATTGATTCAAGCCTTTATTATTCTTATCACAACTAGTGCATCTGTCATCACACTATCAATTAGTACTTTCCACTTAGTATGTTTATTTATGTAATATATCCCATTGTTATCATTGACTCTTAAGCTATCTTGGTAGGTTTAATTATTTTGTATATCAGAGGGGGTTTTGTGGAGAATTTAGTATTTTCACTGTTGAAATCATGAGTCAATTGAAGCTAGGCCACCATCGAAAACCTGGAAGCACTGGACGGCCGTTTCGTCCCATTGTGGGACTCCTCAGCAGTGATAATTATTGTTATTGGTAAACGGTCGCTCAAAATCGTGGATTGGTTGAAGTTAGACATTAACACCGTTGGATGCCGGCTCAGTGGTCTATCGGTTAAGGGCTGTGGATGGAGACTGGTAGGTCCCGGGTTCGAATCTCGCGAGTGCAGGATCGTGGATGCGCACTGCTGAGGAGTCCCATAATAGGACGAAACGGCCGTCCAGTGCTTCCAGGTTTTTCGATGGTGGTCTAGCTTCAATTGACATATTTTGTATATGCATATAGATATTACTGTACATTAGAGTAAAGCCTGATGAGGATCTAATCGAAAAGAATATTGTTCGCTTCTGATATGTTGTTCTAAATCACACTATGGGAATTTTTCAAATTTCAATTAGAAGTATTTTACAACATTAATTCACAGTAACGACGTGTGCACTCGGTCATACTAGGTACTTTGATAACATGTAAATCAATCACTGTCCTTTATTTTTATGTACATATATCTTTATGAAGTTTATATTCCATTTTCAGGGTCCTGGTATGGGTGCTCCTCTTCTCACTGTTGCAGTAGTTGCTCGTACTCTTGCTCAATTATGGAATAAACCTTTAATTGGAGTTAATCATTGCATAGCACATATTGAAATGGGTCGTCTTATCACTGGTGCAAAGTCACCCATCATATTGTACGTCAGCGGTGGTAATACACAAATTATTGCTTTTGTTTCTGGGCGTTATCGAATATTCGGAGAAACGATCGATATAGCATTGGGAAATTGTTTTGATAGGTTGGTCTGTGTTAATATATTGTATCTATTATATGTCTAACATACTTTTTGTGGATCATTATTTATATCTTTGAATTATTTAACATTAGTATTTTTTATAGATTGTAGAAGCACTGTTTGTTTTCCGAGCCCCACTAATTACTCCATTGATGTGTTCAATTTTCACTTACTCATTTTGAAACGTGTTCTAGTTAAAATTTTGTCGAAAGAGTTGGTAAAAGGTATTCTCAATGGTTAAATATAGTAGTCAAGTAAAGAATACTATTACGAAATGCTTCAAGTTGATATTCCTGGTGAACAGGTATCAGTGATGTGGATCAGTCAGCAATACCCTGATTGGGGAAAACGACAACTACTGTTTTCTTCACCTTCCTGTGACGTTACGAAGTAGCAAAGGCTTATGCCATTTTTACTTCCAAATGTCTGCCCCTATAAGTGTGATGTAGTCTACTTATATCTATATAAGTAGTATATGGTGTGGGTCAGACATAGAATGTATTTTGGCAGAAGACCGATGAGGAATGAACTGAAATGAGGCGCAATCGTCTGGAAAATGCATGAGCAATGGAATAAGAGAAGAAACAGTGAAGATTGAAACAATTGGTTGTTATCTTGCAAATTGACTGTTCATTGTTTGGTTATCAGAATTTACTGAGATAGTCTGTAATCTTTGCTTAAATACATTCGATTGTCCCCCAGTCGTATTTTGTTCACTACATAAGCATTGATGTATCCATACTACCATATCATTGATGCCATATTCCCACGTACTTCATGTGTTATATTGGTCCTAATTTCATTGTTCCAAGTTTTTCGTAAAACCCCAGCTGTATGTTACAGGTGTTGTTGCAATATTTTTCGTGATCCATCGATTTCTTCTTTACAGAATTGAGTGAAAAGTTTTGCGCTATATTGGGCAAAGTACATCGGTTCGCTACTTCACTAGTTAAAATATGTAAAACAACTAATGCCGTTTACAACCTCCGTTACTCCATTAGAAGTATAATGAACAAATTTTGTAATGTCTAAGATTCACTCAACTGTGTTTTGCTGCACAGTGTTAATTAATAAGCTCCTAAGCAAAACTTGAGCGAGGTTGGGGCTGAGTAACATTTGGGTGTAATTTGTGATGGACAATTAATTTCTACAACTTGAGAGACGGAATACTGTTATTGCCACATGTTAGCGCGATATTACTTACTTACTTACTTACGCCTGTTACTCCCAATGGAGCATAGGCCGCCGACCAGCTTTCTCCAAACCACTCTGTCCTGGGCCTTCTTTTCTAGTTCTATCCAGTTTTTATTCATTCTTCTCATGTCTGTCTCTATTTCTCGGCGTAATGTGTTCTTTGGTCTTCCTCCTCTCCTTTGACCTTCAGGATTCCATGTGAGGGCTTGTCTTGTGACGCAATTAGCTGATTTCCTCAAGGTGTGCCCAATCCACTTCCAGCGCTTCTTCCTGATTTCTTCCTCCGCTGGAATCTGGTTTGTTCTCTCCCACAGTAACTTATTGCTGGTAGTGTCTGGCCATCTGATCCGAAGTAACTTGCGTAGACGGCTGTTTATAAACACTTGTATCTTCTGGATAATGGCTTTCGTAGTTCTCCACGTCTCCGCCCCATACAGTAGAACTGTCTTGACATTTGTATTGAAAATTCTAACCTTGGTGTTGGTTGACAATTGTTTTGAGCTCCAGATGTTTTTCAGTTGTAGGTATGCTGCTCTTGTTTTGCCGATCCGCGCCCTCACATCTGCATCTGATCCACCGTGTTCATCAATGATGCTGCCCAGATATGTAAAGGTTTCCGCATCTTCCAAAGCTTCTCCGTCAAGTGTAATTTGATTGGTGCATATTGTATTGTATCGAAAAGTCTTGCTTTTCTCTTTGTTTATATTGAGACCTACTGCTGCTGAGGCTGCTGTTACACTGGTCGTTTTCTCCTGCATTTGTTGTTGCGTTTGTGATAGAAGAGCCAGATCATCCGCGAAGTCTAAGTCGTCAAGCTGCATCCTGCCTGTCTGTATCCCGTGCTTTCCTCCAGATATTGACGTCTTCATGATCCAGTCGATCACCAGGAGAAAGAGAAAGGGTGAGAGTAAGCAACTTTGTCTAACACCGGTCTTTACTTCAAACGAGTCGGTGAGTTGTCCTCCGTGGACGATTCGGCCGTTTAGTCCATCATAGGAGTTCCGTATGATATTGACTATCTTCTCAGGCACGCCGTAGTGTCGAAGAAGCCTCCATAGTGTCGTCCTGTCCACGCTATCAAATGCCTTCTCGTAGTCGATGAAGTTGATGTAGAGTGATGAATTCCATTCGATTGATTGTTCCACAATGATCCGCAGAGTTGCGATTTGATCTGTGCACGATCTATTCTTACGAAATCCAGCTTGTTGATCTCGAAGTTGGGCGTCCACGGAATCCTTCATCCTGTTTAACAATACTCTGTTGAAGACTTTTCCTGGTATTGAGAGAAGAGTGATGCCCCTGTAGTTGTCACACTTGCTGAGATCGCCTTTCTTTGGTATCTTGATCAGAAGTCCTCCTTTCCAGTCTATTGGTACTTGTTCTTCGTCCCAAATCTTACTGAAGAGGATGTGGAGTATCTTGGCAGTTGCTGCTACATTTGCTTTCAGTGCCTCTGCCGGGATGTTGTCTGGTCCCGCTGCCTTGCCGCTCTTGATTTGTCTAATTGCCATGCTGATCTCTTCAATCGTTGGTGGGCCAACATCGATTGGGAGGTCCGTGGGTGCTGCTTCGATGTTGGGTGGGTTCAGTGGAGCTGGTCGATTCAAGAGTTCTTTGAAGTGTTCTACCCACCTGTTTCGTCGTTCTTCAGTTTCGGTGATTACTTTGCCTTCCTTGCTTTTCACTGGTCTTTCTGGCTTACGGTAATTTCCATCAAGTTTCTTTGTTGTATCATACAGTTGTCTCATGTTTCCCTCTCTTGCAGCCTTTTCCGCTGAAGGAGGCTTTGATGATCCTTGGTCCATGAGATTCCCATCCAATAAGTGCATTTTGTGCTTTTCTGGACAGCATCAATGCAACTCCTTGTGTATGTGAGGCATTTTCTTCTTCATGACCGGAGTATAACAGAAGTTCTCCTGAAGACAGTCGTTGTTGTGCAACCTGCATCCAATGTGTTTCGCTGATTCCAAACACCTCCAGGTTGTATTTTCTCATTTCTGCAGCAATTTGGAAAACTCTTCTGGTCTCCCACATTGTTCGGACATTCCATGTACCTATAAAAACTGTCGCTCTGGTTGTAAGAAGGTGCATCGGCCTCATGACTTCCGAAGGAACTCGGCTTTCATCATGAGACGTCATAATTATTCCTTCTACTCCCAGGGCAGAGTTTGAAAGGTTTGAATGATTTTTTCTGGTTAGCATTTTTTAGCGAGTTGATTTTCTACGGGATGGGGTCGCTAACCCCATGCCCAACCCTCCTCCCTTACCCGGGCTTGGGACCGGCAGTAACCCCCAGAGGAGCTACAGGCGGAGTTCTTAGCGCGACATAGATTGAATTAAAGCATGTTCCGTTCACGATTGCGTTGGCGCACGCTGATTAGATAAAAATAAGCCAATCAGCACTAGTCGTTACTTGGAGATTTTAGAATCTCATGTAAAACTATAAATATACTAACGTATCTCTCACTGTACTTCATACTTCATCTACCCCTTGTTTTTCGGAATATAATTTCTTTCCTGTTCAACCGTGTTCTAATTTAAGAACTTTTCGAGTGAATTGGTGTCCAAGACTGTACTGCATGAAATTATGACTTTTATTCGAACCACCAGTCATGAATTTATGATAGACTGATAGAAGCATGATTTCTTTCATAGTTTTGTGTAGAATAGAAAATGTTTAAAAACACCGATGAATGGTTTTTAGCTTTCTCTAGGAATTTCTATGTTGCTGATTTCACCCTGTTCAGGAATTTCTATGTTGCTGATTTCACCCTGTTCATAAGCATTTGAAACGTTGTTGACTAAATTTATTGATATGTTCCTGTGGAGAGCTATGAAAGCAGGTGATGATAATAATAAATTTTTCGTTTATAGCAACAATTATATTCTTCTTTTCCATTTATTATGATCGCAATAATTTTTGGCTATCGTAAGTTCTAAAGTGTCTACCGGTTAAAAAAGCGATTTATTTGTATGAGTAAAGATGGGATTTATTGTCTAACAATTATTCAAGAATTGGTTTTTGAATTTGTGTGTTTTCTTTCATGATAACTAATACTCGAACACCTTTTCAGTAAGATGATTTCATGCTTGTTCTAACCCAGTTCACTTCGTTGACACTTGATTGTCAGGATTTTTATTTTTTAAGAAAAACCTTCAATTGCCTCTTTATTGTGCATTAGTTATTTCAGTTACCCATACCTAACCCAAAGTGTTTCTCACCTTAGGTTTGCCCGTATTGTAAATCTTTCGAATGATCCAAGTCCTGGCTTTAACATTGAGAAGTTAGCCAAACAAGGATCAAAATTTTTCGAGTTGCCATATGCAGTGAAGGGTATGGATGTTTCTTTTGCAGGATTATTATCATTTCTGGAAGAGCGTGCACCGAAACTTTTAGAAACTGGTGAATACACTGTGGCTGATTTATGCTTTAGCCTCCAAGAGACAGCTTTTGCTATGGTTGTAGAAATTACTGAACGGGCTATGGCACATTGTGGTGTAGACGTAAGTTTATTTGATTTTAAGTATTACTAACTAATTTGTTTATGTGGTTATTTTTAAACTCTAATAACAATAAACCATCAAAAAACGTATCAGCTTATTTTCCGTTGTTTTACAAGTTATCCCATAGTGAGCCACTTAGTTTATTATCTTTGTCAAATGCCTGTATTAATAGTTTTGATTTCATTTATTAATTTTATCGGAAAACTAGATATGATTCTGGTTTGTTTATGTTTTCGTAAGTTATACAGTGTATTTACTTAGTTTAGGAATAAAATTTCTTATGTTATACATTTTATCTCACTTTACCTTGTGAATGAATATGAGTTTTTCTCTTTTAAATAAAAAAAGTATATTTCATAATGATTTTGTCAATATTTATTACATCACACAATTCCCCATTGTTTTGAAATTCTTCATGAAAATTCTTTAAAAATTAGATTTTGCCTGTATTAAACAATACAAATAGGTCATATCTGAAACCAATAAGATTTTTATGGAAATGCCGTACCGTTATAAAAGTGTATAAGTTTCCCAGCCCTTAATCGTGTGATGTGTTGAATTCAATTTGATCACAAAAACCGTAGTTGGATGAAAGTCGGTTCCTTCAAATAAGTGGATATACATCATGCTTCAGCACACTCCTGTGCCAAATGAGATTATCATGAATCAGCGTAGGTAAACTAAACAATGTTTCCAAACTAATGCAATAGCTCAAAATAACTGGAATTACAGGGAATGCTTCATAGAATGTAGATTAAGCGATGGGAAAAGCATTAAGTGCTGCCTAAAATATAAAAAAGAACGAAATATTGAAAGAGGAATATAGTTGAATGGTTCGTTGTGACAAATTGACTCAACTCTGTAAAACAATAAGTCATCAATTATATAAGAACTATCGTCTAAATTAGAGCAAATAGTTTCACAGTATTTGAGCGCCGAGTTGATGTAAGACATTAAATAAGAATAATATATTTGTAAAATTTCAGCGAATGAATTTGTAGTAAATCCAACGTTTCGCCTGGCAATTTGGTCCAAGCTTTTTCAAGGAATTATAATCAAACATCAAAATTATCGAATATAAATAGGTACATGGTTCTCCGGGTTCATTGTACACTGAATAGGTCATCCATTCAACGTTAAAAATGTCTAATCTAGGTATGTGTAAGAGATGTGTGATGTGAAATGATAAGCGTTAATATAACATATTGTATAGAAAACGTTAGTGGTGAGAAGAGAAATTACATTCACACTATATATTGTCCCTTATCAGTGAATTTATAAGGAAAAACATACAATTTGTAATATATGGTATGAATCATATCTGTCACAGCATGAAGATAATTAAACAAAATAAAAATAAAAGAGTGAAATTTGAAGAGTGTAAATTTTTAAAAATTGTATGTATGTGTCATTTTTAATGTTCCAGTGAATTGTTTGACAAATTCCGATAAGACAACTGATTAGAATCATTGAATGCAATTGTTGTCATTTAGATAATACGAAATAGATAAAAACGTTAAGGAATTCAGGTTTTTACTTATTAATGATTAGTTGCCATGGCACTGCTAATTGTATTCCATCCCTCCTATTAATATTGTTTGGATTAGCCCAAATGTATAGGGCTTCAGCTGTTTGCCTTTCTTTGTAAGAATTGAAATCTTTTTGAAGGATTTTTGTGTGAACGGAATCAATTGTATGACCCAATTCTATCGAGTGTAATGCTATCGCTGATTTGTTCTCCAGGTTCCTTACATCATCTGAGGATTTAGGAATGTGTATTGTTTGTTCGAAAAAATACTCTTATATTTTGATTATTTAAGATTCTTCTAATACCTTCTGAAACACCTTTCCGATATGTTTGTAGATAACCCGTTACTGAATATTAAAAAGTAGTATGTCGTAGCCTACCAAAAATGTGGTCACAGAAGTTATGCAATTGATATAGTAAACATATTTAGCAATTTCAAATAGAATTGTTTTGTTGCCTCTTAACTTCGGGTTAGCATATCATTTTCAAAATTTCCTTGTTAAAATTTTCCTGTAACACTATGAATTTAAATAAATTCTTTACAACTTCTTATTAATTTCTAAAATCTGCCCTTATGGCTGCTATGTGTCGTTTTCGATTAAGCATCCCATAAAGTTCTTTTAAACTAATTCTGTTTATCAGAAGGTCTGGTCTATTGATTTTTTCTGATTCCATGTAATGGACCCAATACTATGTTAATTATTTAGCTAGACAGTTATTCTCACAAATACCCATATAAAGTTCAATATTAAAAAGCAGCTATACTAAATTTATAAACGTGATCTTATAAATAAACTGATTTAGTTTACATATGGTTACTTACAAAGTACCTTTCATTTTCCTAGTCATTATGATGATAGGTCTCAAATATATTGTGTTATACAATGTTTAATACCGTTGAATTTTAATTGTACATAGCAAAAAAATGATTGTAGCATCGGACAAAGCAGGATTATTCAATATGTTTTAGCGCTCTTTTATTCACTGTGTTTCATAAAGAAAGAAAACTGAAGAAGTGGACGTTTGGTGGATTGTATCGTTTAATGTATGTGTTTGGATTTTGGTCATGATTTAATGTTCTGTAAACTCATCTATGTTTTTGGTCAATAAATTAAGCTACGTTCAACATTCCAACGAATTATGTAAGATCAAGTTGAATTCCACGTTAGTTAACTGCAATAGCAAGACCTAAAAAAGTTCCTATAAATATTCAACTAACTCTGTAATCGTAAACGCTAGGTTTCTTGTGATCTTTAGACAAATGATAGTTAAACCCAGCTCATTTAATTCGACATATTGTAGTAACCCTCATCCCTAAATTATCGAAAAGTTTTCAAGGAATGCTTGATATGATAGTCAAGACTGCCAAAATGGCAGTCGATAGAGCTTATCGTCTGTTCGTCTAAGCCACTTGGAAAGAAGTCTTAATGCCGATAAAAAAATATCGAAATCATAGCGCACTCACTGTACATCTTTAAAGAGCCTTAGAGCACTAAATGAAGCCCTCTAAACGACTATTTAACTGACCCCTTGCTCTAGGAAATTTTGTAAATCTTACCTCAATCGACGTAATAATATCATAGAAAAGAACTTCAATTGGTAAGGCGTCACAAGATATTTGGCTCAGAAGACTTATTTCTGGCTCTTTTTAGTTGAACAGGTAACATTCTCAATCTGGAATTAACTGGATAGCCAGAGAAAAAGCTTATGGTAATTTAGTTTTTCTCCGTCAGAGTTTTGATATTTCTATTAATGGTACCGTAATTAAATCAGCTCTGCTCTATACCTGTGAAACTTGCCCTCTGAGATATTTGTCGCTTTCTGTCTGATCACTGTGTTTCAAGAGTTTATACAACAATATAACATAAATATTACCAAAGTCTGGTACTCTATGTTTGTTTGCATTACAGATGATCACTCACTAGTTAATGGCACCCAAAAATATGAACATTTTTCACAAATTAGATTCTCTAGGCTTTTATTCCAAAGATTATTTGTCATAGTTTGTGTTCTCCATCTTTTTCCCACTTGTTCAATTCACTGATCAAGTTGCTTAAGTTTCAGTTGTTTTATCTTAAATATGCAATTTAAATAAACCTGATAAACCAAGTAATATTATTAGTCATTAACTATAACGATGTAACCTGAAGTCACTAATTTTTATTCATAGGAAGTAAAATTGTAAAATCGTGGTACGGATACGTCATGGCTATTTAATATTGATTGTACCGTGAAATATGTTTCAAAACAAACTCATATCTGATTCTGTTTATGTTAGACTGGACAAATATACACGATATAGTGTGTCACGGTAGGAGTTTACGTATTCAGTTTTCTGTTTGTAGTCATTTGTAAAGGTTATGATTCTTGATGTGACGGAGTAAAAGGAGCAAAATCCAGTCATTGTGAAAATCGATCAGTATGACATTGATGAATTGTTGTTAAGTACTACCCAGTCAAACCATACAAATCTGATTGTTAACCTGACTGTACATAAATCATACAGAGTTTTGTATGCATATAACATTTTGATTTGTTTTCGTAGTCATATAAGTCGTTATCGTATTTGCGGTTTTCAGTACCAACTACAAGTCAATTAAGCATATCTACAGACATAATTGTGACAGGTATAACAATTTTCATCTTTAATTCTTTTAATTACTTACTAATTAGTCTTGTCATATTAGAATGAGTATTTTACCTTTCGTAATTTTTCAGGAGGTCCTCATTGTCGGTGGCGTTGGTTGCAACGTGCGTCTGCAGGAAATGATGAACTGCATGGCTAAAGAGCGTGGTGCTAAATTATTCGCAACAGATGAGAGATTTTGTATTGATAATGGTGCTATGATAGCACATACTGGATGCCTAATGTTTGATGCCGGTTTGACTTTTCCGCTGAAAGACTCTGTCGTGTCTCAACGCTATCGTACAGATGCTGTTGATGCAATTTGGCGTGATGAATAACATCTCCATATGTATATATTTTCAAATATATTGTTATTCTGACGATTCAATATTTTTCCATGTGAACTCTACTTAATTGTATATACTATTGCTAAATGGTTAGGTAGGCAGGAAGAGAGATAGATAAATCATTCATTGTTTCTATAGACAAGCTCATCTTTTCATAAGTTGCTTCTGGAATATCGATTAGATTTTTTGGGGTAAGTAAGCTGCAGGTAATTTTAGTTTCAAGTTGTTTTAAATCTGGTCTAGTAAGTCACCAAGTATATAGTAAAATAGCGGTCGAAGTTATTAAAGAAAAATAACTAGTCTAGGAGAAATAAAATATTATTTGATTATCAAATAAATGGGCTTAGTGTATCACTTACGTAGGAATGAATATTCACATTTAAACCTCATAAAATTTCTATCTACCTAGTTATTTACTGATATATTGCATAAGTATCAGGTTTTCTACATCATAACTAGATGCGAACGTTTTCTTCTTTCATTATCTTTCTGTTATTCTTGTTAAAGGTTCCAGTACTCGTAGCACCTCGTTTTATCTTCTAGGGCAGATGGGTATCCGAGGCTTGTGGACATATATTCAAAGTAACAGTGAAAACTTCTCCCCGTATGAATTGCATAACCAGCCTTTAGTTATTGATGCCGAAAACTTCGCTTCTCTCTGTTATCGTCAAGCTACTTTGCGATGTGAATATGGTGGAGAGTATTTGGCATTTAAACGTTATGTCCAGTTGTTCCTGAAAAAGTTTCGTACCTGTCATGTGGACACAATCTTCGTTTTCGGTGGATGCCATTCTAAAGAGGTATGCTTTCATTATCATAGTACTTTTTTGGTTTTTACTGCCTACATATTTTCCAGTCTACTTAAATCTTAGACATTTATTTAATGTAAAAAACATTATGATATTGTGTAGTATACATCTTATCTTTATTGTACATAGTATCAGAAAATATGAGTATCAAGCGCTATCGTTTGATCATAGAACGTCCTCTTGGCTAGTGTTGCAAAAAATCGCCAATTATTTTGGGCATGTTGGATTTTGCAACAAGACTTTGAACATTGTTTCACAATGAGACTCGAGTTATGAAATTCATACAGTCATGTGTATGCCTAGAAGTCTATCTCATATGCGGATAATTTGTATATTAAGCATACAGTTTAACAATTATTTAATGTTACTCGAACTTTATACGTAGTAATAAATTTTTTACTACCTCTCGAGATGTAATTTCATCATTACCCTTTTGCTTATTGGTATATTTCTCTGAGTGATAGTGAGACATTCACGAACAAATGTGATAAATGAAAAGAAAATAAACGCTAAATTTTTTGAGCTATATGTTTTCCGAGTTCGTTACATACAGTGGTTCACTTTATAAGTTAACTAATGAATTTTTTTCGCTTTCCTAAGGGATCGAAATTGGATACTTTGTTGAAGCGAAACCTTGAAAACTTTAATAAACTCTCATCGGCTCTTCGTGATGTTAACTCAATTTCTAATCTAAATAGCCTAGACTTGAACATCGATATAACTCCACGACTTTGTAGACATGTTCTTGTGGAAATTCTACGGGAATCTTCAGTTCGATACATAGCATGTGAACGTGAAGCTGATATCAGTGCAGCAGAACTAGCTATTTATCTTCAATGTCCCGTTACTAGTGGAGATTCTGATTTTTTTATTTATCGACCAATTGATGACAATCAAGTCTATAGTTTTATTCCACTTTCATCTATTCTACTCGATTGTAAGCAGAGGTCCCCCCCTTGTTCTGTTTGTAAACTTAATGGTGCTCTTTGTTATTTTATATCGTGTAAAGTTCTTAATAATTCAGGACCGTTTTATAAACTCAAGTATCCTATGTTACCACTTTTTGCCACCCTCGTTGGTAATGACATAACATCAAATATTCACCTTCCAGCAATTATCAATTCTCTAATCCATACTTCCGATCTACAGAACACGTCCTACTATCAAAGACGTATCCATGCTATATTTAACTGGCTCTTATGTTTTCGTGACATGAAACAACCATTGTCATTAATTCTGTCACTCTACAGCGAAAATGAGAGGGATGGTATTGAGGAGACAATACGTTTGGGGATTTCGGATTATTTTCTGAATACTTCAGGCGAAAACCTGGCCCATGCACTAGGTTTTTCAAATGAACAGCATATTTCATTAAGTGTTCCATCATCAAGCAAACTGGGAAATCCGAACATTCTAAATTCCACAACTTCATGGGGTTCCTACTTTGAAGACCCTTTCAAATTTTCTAAACCTATTTTGGAGCGAAATAATGATAAAGATAGCATATTTCACCATTGGCCGAAAGAACTGATTAAACGATTTAAATCTTTGGAATTAATCCCAAGCGTATTAGACTGCATGTATGTACGAAACGGCGCTGTCCCTCGTCAAGTAGTGGAGGATATAAAGAGTCCTAATTCAATTGATGAATTTATGTCCAAAATGAGAAGTATTTTAAATGGACTTATATATGGCCTTGAAAATCACTTAGGTACCAATGAAAAGTTATGTGGAATGGAGAATGAGTGTGTCACTGAGTACAGAAAAAGTTCGAATGGTCATTTGACGAAGACTTTAGTTTCATTGAAGCCTCTGAAACCCCCTTATGCTGAAACACCTGAATTTTCGTTCGTATCTTTTTTCTCCCAGTTTCTTAATTTAAATTTAGAAAAAGATTTTAAGCCTCTTGAAATACAAGGTTTAGCTGTTTTATTAATTCTATGGTTCAGATCTTCATTTCATGCTCAATATAAAGCTAAAAACATTCGAACATCACCAGTTGGACTTGCGCTATCATGTTGTGCGATTGCTGTCCATTCAAACTGTGAATTTCTTGGTAGAAACAATACTTTTGGAGATTTTTCCAACTCTATTTGTACACATCTCGATAAGTGTGCTGATTTAGCAAAATCAATTTATTGCCAAAGAAATTCACCTTTCTTTTGTATCGAGGATGTTCACCAACTTAATGAATTGCAAAGTATGGCCTCTGCATTAAATCATTTAGTTGCACTGATTGAGGTGCTTTGTCCGTTTTATATCTCAAATCTTGACGAATTTGATACTTCACATTTAAAAAATTCTTTCATAAGCTTTTATCCACTTTGGATGTTATTTGCCAGTGGACGTCTTTTGTACTGGATTGGTCGGCTTTTACAAAGTATTGATCCGTCTGAGCGTTTCCATAAAGTCATAAATGATTGGCTTCCAAAATTGCTCATAAAAACCAATTTTATCAGTCAACAACAGGACTGCGCCCAAAGAGATTTTACCAAACTTTTCAACCTAATCAATAAGTTGAACTGATAAAATTTATAGCTTCTATTATCAACGCTAGTATTTATTTCTGACAGAATTTCGTTTATGATTGCTTTATTTAATTTGTATAAACATACATAACATATTCATGGTTTTTGTTTAAACTTTTAACTCATTCACTTGCACACCTGTTTTTCTAACAACCATAATCATCCACGTATTTTAATATATACTTCATACTGTCTCGCTGTGCCTTTATTTTGGTAAAAGTAGTAAAGATGCAAAGAAGAATCAGTTACCGGAAAAAACCCACTTCACATTCTGTGAAAACTACTTCTCCAACTAATTAGATATAATAATTTGTTGATCGTAGTGTAACTAGATATGCTAACGATAGATTTTCTGTTAAATAGTCAAGATTTCTACCTGTTTTGTGTTTATTTAACTAGATGATTATGTCGGAGTATTTGCTGATGTTGTCTAGAAGGATAATGAAAGCCTGACGACTAAACCATCCATTTCAGAGAGCATTGCACCTCTGAAATCTTCATCCTGAGATAAAAGTACTCTCCATTTTATCCGTTTACGTTTGCTTCTAAGTTAGTGGATAATCCAGAGCAATATGGATTTTGTTTGAATAGGTAATTGACCTTGCATCGTATTTTGTTAAGGTTATGATTAATACGGTTACTTCCAGATGAAATATAGCACCAATTACTTGATAACAAGAATACTCGTTTTGTTTCATATAAAGTATTTCATCACAGTTGTTTGTCCCATATCCATAAGTATTCAGACGCTAGTTTAAAAGAAATCCCAGTAGCAAATTAAGAGGGTGGGACTTTTCAACGACTTATGGCTTATACGAAGGTACTTACAAGTATTTAATGTTGTATACAACTCTAAACTTGTACACTACTTTGTTTCATGGTTACTCTAATTATTAAACATGGAAGTTCGTGGTATGAGAAGTTTAATAAAGGAAAAGTTACTTCGTGTGTGTTCACAAATTAAGGTCATTACTTGATACCTTTCACTTAAGACTGGGAATATCTATGTTCAAATGAGAAATTTAGTTAACTTCAGCGAGGATGGTCCACCTAACCGTTCCCAACATCACAAAACGACTTAGTTATTTGTATAAATTGTGCCAATAACGTAGAAACGAAAATATTCTAGGATTATCTACGAAACTGTGAGGATTTAGTAGATCTGACAGATACTAGGTTCCCTAATTTGTTCACCGAACAGTCAAATAATACGCACACAGTTTTGATTACTTTTTGCATCCTAATAGATTCGGTCGTAGTTAAATTTTTCGAAGGGCAACCTGTATAATCTAGTGATTAACGAGTACAAAAGTATCAGTAAAAGTTACTAATACTCCCATCAACAGATTAAAACTAAGCCTTATGAGTAAAACTGTCATTTCCACAAGTCTCCAGATATCGACATCTTCGTAGATAGGAGACATTGGACCTATTTTCTCTGAAATATTGGTTATGATGGTTAGAAACAGAAGACTTATTAGGATGCTTCTTAGCAGGACTCTGGATATTTAAGTATTTTCAGTTCACGAGCAGTGAATTCACCTTGTGAAGATGTGCAATTTTGGATTCACCAGAGAGTGAGTCTAGAGAACTCACTAATATAACATTTGTGAGCAGTTTATTCATCAGTCATAGAATGAAGTATACATCGATGTACTTTTGTCCCAACAGATTGTCCTTCTGTCTCATAATAGGATGAGAATAAATGTAATGCCTCTGTCTTATCTTGTCGTTGATCAAATCCTTGGATAATATTGTAGGTATTATTTTTCTACAGCAGGTTGAATTTTCCTGTTTCCACTTTTTCTGATCCATCGCAATTTCTGCACACTGCTTCAGGACTATAGTCCAGATGCTTTTAAAGCCTGGTGATTAGTTCAGTCACAGGGACCTCGATTTTCATAATATAATCCCAGAAGTCAAGGATTGTGGTGGCTATATGTTCCCCTGCGTAAGTCTACGATTCAGTTGAGAAGCGAAATAGGCACTAAAAACCTGTGTTATTTCTGTAACAATAATTTAATCTCAATTAAAAACAGGTTCAATGAACCATGCTAGTTTACGAGTAAGCCATCAGTGTACAAAGTCAGTGAGGGTTGGCTAGTATTCTGTTGATTAATTCTAATTAAGCATACATTTCGTCGCTTTGTATCCTGGTTATGACTTTGTCTCTTGGTTCTTAAAAGGAACTACTGTCGGAACCTGTCAAAAAGAAGCCTGAATGTAGCATAACAACTCGTATATATTTGTTGGTGAAAGCAGTTGATCTGCAGATACTATAAACATTGAACTTAATGCATAATTCACACCAACTGCCGCCATTTCGATGTTTTGACGAGTGGTAGTTGGCTAGTTATGTAAATCACATAGAACAATATATTTTTATACAGTTGGCTGAACCGTTGGTGAGTCAGTCAGTGGTAGTAACGGTCTCTCATCAGGTTTCTCCTTTGTTGTATATCTCGTATTGCTGCGTGTATACATATATTCGTTTCCTTCTCTTTGTTTGCAGTTATTATATTGTTGTAGCCCCCAAATGCCCTGGTACGGCCGAGAGTAGGGAGAGTCACCTCTCCATCTCGAAATACTCTCATATGGCCAGCGAATATATAGCCTCTGCCAGGGAAGTCCTACTCACTGCCTTCTCGTGGCGGGGGTGTTGTTTACGAAAGTGAGAGGACGAAAAGCGAATGTTCGGCGCTTTAACCGGGTTGGTGGACACGGAGGGTCCACCTAGGGGAGTTGGAAAACCCTGATTCCAAACCAATGGTGCACATGGGCTCCAGTATCCTGATGGAACGAATGGCGGACAAACCCGTCATTGGTCAACGACTACCATGGGACTGCATCTCCTCACGATGCTCCACTGCCTTGTGGATCAGACATTCAGGTCATAGGCTCCGGGTGTGGCCCTCTAAGAAAACCACCTGCTTCAGTCTGGGCAGTATCACAGCCTTCACACAAATCGAATGAGATTTGTAAGGCGCATATTTGTCTGGTGCTTCATTGTACCAATATTTATGTGTTTCAATAAACAAATATAAATAATAGTTATTATATTGTTGTTTACAGCTTCTAAATTGTGGCCAACTTTTTGTTTATGTTGGAGTTTTTATCACCGTTTCACTTTCGACTTACTTTTCATTTTAATTTCCGGTGGCCATCATATTGCGCAACCGCTTTTCGAGTGGATCCCATTTAATTTAATGAATCTACCACTAATGAGATTAATCAAATTCTGTATGCTGAATATTAGTACCTACAACTTTTCAATTCATATTTTAGTAGTCGTGTATGTGCCAGTAGTCAAGTCTGAGAAAACTCCGTGTGCGCAGTCGAGTGTAATGTATTTGATGTTCAAATTAATTGAGAAGTAATCTACGAGGGAATCATAAATAAGTACAAATATCACAGTTCGCAATTTAATGTTCTAAGTTTTAGATAGGTTGATTATATTTAAAAATTGACTACCCATTTTAAAATGTATTCCACTGGAAGGATTTTTATGCTTTTTAGACAGCAAGTTTCTTAGTTTTAAGGATCATTTTATTAGTTGCCAAGTATTTACTTCATAGCTTTCATTTTAATCACTTGACGTTCGGAAATTGGTCTCACAAGTTTGTTGTTGCAGCAGTAATTATATTGGTTCCGTTATATGTTCCTTATCCTGTGCAGATATTTATTCATTTAGTACCACCCATATTCATTGCTTTATAAAAACTTCCATGCCACTATACAGAACTTCGTCTATTTACGATTCAATATACTCCGTTGAGGTTCTTTACTGTATTTTCTCCAGTCTAGGCCCGTTAGAAATATCTGGAATTTTGGGTTTTACCATCACTATCTCCCGCTGGTGATCTTACATGGATCATTTTGACTGAAAGCTGGTCTCTTGACAACATTAAGTCCAGCCCCGATGGCTTTCCATCCGTCGTCGATGAGGTTCGATCTGCAATGAGGACCTGACGTTGGTCATTATCCACTGATCAATCAACTACAAATACAGATCAGCCCTACAGGAGGTCAGTTACAGCCCGGATAGCTCAATGTTAACGTCTCTGACTGTGAAACTGGGTGACACGAATTGAATCCGTCGGTGAACATCAGCTCCCTCAAAATTACAGGTACACCTTGCTGATGACGAGTACCAAGTAGCACGAAACCCCCAACCACCATCTTATCTCAACATCACAACTTAGTCGATAGAATTGGATGTGCACCAAGAAGGACCTGACATTGACCACCACCCAGTGACCAATCAATTGTAAATTATCCATCTTGTGTCGATTACGCACTCAACTCACTGTACGATTAAAATCCAAGCTAGTTGTTTATTGAGTCGTCCTGCGAATTTTCTGTCATCATTCCTAGATTTAACTTATGATAGATCAAACCCTCTGTCCAGGAATGTCTTAGGATGTTTGTTTCTCGATTCGTATGAAGAATCACACCGATACTTGCGAAACAATATCGTATTTGACGTCAAATGTTGGCTGCCGAGCAAACGGAATCGAATTAAACAAGGTCATTATTAGTATTACTGTAGCGAACAGAACACGACTGTGGACAATCGAATGTATTTAAGCAAAAATTACAGACTATCTCAGTAAATTCTGAAAACCATACAATGGACAGTTAATTTACAAATTAACACCCAGTAGACTCAATCTTTACTTTCTTCTGTAATTCCATTGTTCGTGCATTTTCCTAACGATTGCGCTTTGTTTCAGTTCTTTCTTCATCGATCTTCTACCAAAATACATTCTATGCCTGACCAACACCATATACTACTTATATGGATATAAGTAGATCACACCACATTACTAGTGCAGGGAATTGAACACCTACTTAAACACCATGGACACCACTTGACAACAGCTAAAAAAGGAAACCTAGGGCAGCTTTTTTCGAAGACCGTCTGTAGAAGGCATATTGTCAAGTGGAGGTAGCAAGCTCAATTGAGTAGTCCGATGATACAATGGGATGAATCATAGGTAATTTAAAAAATTAGGTCCATAAACGTTTGGACGAATTTGCAGATGCATCAAATTTTCGAAAACCCACTATATATTTATGTCCGTCACTTTTACATCAATGATTCATTGTTGTCCTCATTTTGAGAGGTATATTGAAATTACTTCTCCCTTACAGATTGCTTAGACCGCGCTACCACAGCATATTCAAAGTGAAAGTATATTCTCCTGGTTTTGATCTTATTTCGGAAACGGTAGGCACTAGTAACTTCTGATTTGAAGGCTCATTAGTTGGTTAGATGAAGAAGTATCTTTGAGCAGTTAGTTTTTCTAATGTTATTCAAACTGATGCGCTGTCAAATGAAAGACTAAACCTTGTGCATAAAAGCAAACACGGTCCGATTCCATCCCCTTTCTAGTTTCGATAATTGTCGATCAGTTGCTATTACTTCCAAATTTCCAGTTATAAATTAGCTGTAACCATATAATTCATTCATGATTCTCTTCAATTATCTCAAAACCAACTTTATTTCGAAATAAGCTTATCGGTCATTACATCACATCCCCATTGATTATGACGAACGATTTGCAATGCAGTTCTTTACTCAGCGGACAAGCTGCCAATAATAGAAAATCATCTACCACAAGTGCTTATTCGGTAAAATTGTAACACCTAATAATGAAAAATTTAAAAATGATTATTTTTCTCTTAAAATACTTAAAGGAAAAGATATAAGAGAAATTATTTATAGTTAGGATTTATTTAAAGTAAATGATGTTGAGTTAGTTGTACGTCATGTATCGTGGAGTTGCACTGAACTTAGCATATGACTTGATAACTTTGTTCACAGCTTCCAAAAAATCTTTCTCGGTAGCCATTTTTCGTCTCGATCTAATAGCATACATCCCAGCTTCAGTACAAACGCTACGAATCTCTGCACCTGAAAAGCGGAAAATTAAAAACACCGTAAGGAACTTAGATTTTCACTCGAATAACATGAACAGTCAAATGTAAGGTTACAATCCATGGGAAGATAGGCTCAAAATATAGTTAGAAAAACTGCGTTATATGAAAAGTTGGTAGATGAGAAAAAAAGACAAATATGTCACGAATTAACTCAATAAACTGGGTGACCTGAAAAGACCATGATATAATAAATAATACTTATTTTGAATTAAAAATTACTTATACAGTCCATAATTGAAGTTATAATTACACATAAATGATCAACCTTCTTGTTACAAGTTGGGAATCTCAATTTCTACTCGTTGGGATAACACGAATATATATTTCATCATTGACAGCTCATTCAGACATCAAATTATTCATATTTATATGCATGTGCATCGCTATTTTGAGTCTTATCATCCAAATCGGATCTATTAGTCACTGTGAGAAACGAATGTGATTTCTTTCACATACATATGTTCAGAAAACAAGTATATGAGGTAAAAACTCAGAATTATGACAAATAATTTTCTGCAAACACAATAACTAGACCATAAGACTTACCAGTACTATTAGGGCAAAGGCGAGCAAGAAGCTCGTAACGGATATCTTTCTCAACAGACATAGAACGAGCATGTATTTTAAATATATGAGTTCGACCTTCAAGATCAGGCAGACCAAATTCAACTTTTCGATCCAAACGGCCAGGTCTAACAAGAGCAGGATCGAGAGTATCAGGTCGGTTAGTGGCCATTAACACCTAAAACAAAAACATAGGGTTGAACACAAAATAAATAAACGTGAAAATATTTCTAGATGAGAGCTCTACACAATTACAGACGTTTTTACGTGAAGGATTCGTGCATTAATAGATGCCAACGCAGTATGAGGTCCTTTTGTTGCTAGACGGATATCTCGCCTACGCCATAAATGACGCAAGTTGGCAAAAGCTAGACGAGCCTTCTGTATCCGTGCTGAGATTTCGTCACACACCAGACCACAAGGGCTGATGAGACTCCCAAGATAAGTGAAGTGGTCTACACGCTCAACTACTTCACTCCCTATCATTAGTTCAGCTGTCGATGCAACCCAATCCTGAAGTAACATTTTGCACTTCGAGGGAGAATCGCATCCCGAACATGCCTGCATTGTTGCTTATAGTGGTCAGAAGATTCTGCATTTTGTCAGTCTTCACCGAATAAAACTATGTCGTCGGCGTATTCTAAGTCAACAAGTGAGCCTCCTGGTAAAAGTTCAACTCCAGGAGATTGAGATGATGAAAGTGATACCTCTAAAAGCATGTCAACGACAAAGTTAAACAAGAATGGGGAGAGTGGACAGCCCTGACGAACACCACTTGAGGTAACCAATTCTGATGACAGTTCTCCATAGGCTCTAACTCGACCAGTTGTGTTCGAGTAGAGAGCCTTTATGAGGTTAATGTACTTCTTTGGTACTCCTTTCAGTGACAAACACTGCCATAGAACCTCACGATCAACGGAGTCAAATGCTGCCTTAAGGTCAAGAAATACTACTATTGTGGGACGTCTGAATGTATGTCTATGTTCTAGGACCTGACGTAGAGTGAATATCTGGTCTATGCAACCACGTCCAGGTCGAAAACCAGCCTGGTTTTCTCTAGTCTGCTCTTCACGAACTTTGGTTAGGCGCCCAAGTATTATTGAAGCTAATATTTTAGACACCATATTAGTCAAACTGATCCCTCTGTGATTGTCACAGGAGGACTTTTGTCCTTTCTTATAGACTGGCACAATCAGTGATTGGGACCAGTCAGATGGAATTACGTCCAGTTCCCAGATTCTACCTAAGACCTCAGTCAATCTCGTTGCTAGTACTGGACCATCATCCTTAAAAATCTCAGAGGTAAACCGCCTGTAGCTCCTCTGGGGGTTACTGCCGGTCCCAAGCCCGGGTAAAGGAGGAGGGTTGGGCATGGGGTTAGCGACCTCATCCCGTAGAAAATCAACTCGCTAAAAAAACGCTAACCAGAAAAATCATTCATTTGGAGAAAGCTGGTCGGTGGCCTATGCTCCATTGGGTGTAACAGGCGTAAGTAAGTAAGTAAGTAAGTAAACCTGTCAGGGCCTGCTGCTCTCCCTCGATTCAGATTTCCTATAGCTTTTTCAACCTCGTAAAGAGTCGGAGGACTTACATCAACTTGCCATTCAGGACGACTGGGGATCGTGGTTAACTGAAGTGTGGCTGAAGGCCAGTCGAACTGATCCCTAAAGTGTTCTGCCAATCGATCCAATCTCCTGGATTGAGAATGAATGATATGCCCATCTTTGTCTGAGATAGTTTCGCTAATAGTTGGGTTCCTAATGCCGGTTTCTTTAATAAGTCTGAATAGCTGTCTGCTGTTACCTATTGCCGCTGCCTTTTCCATATCTCTTGCTTTCGCTACCCACCACCGTTCACGATCATTGCGTAGGCTTCTTATTAGCCTGCGCTTAAGCTGACTCCGCTCATCGTTATGTTCAGAGCCAGGTGGGATGAGTTTACGAGCATCTATCAGTGCGGTGGATGCTGCCGAGATCCATTGTTTCTCCCTAACCTTATGGCTTACCTTACTAGCGGATATCACAGCTGTTTCCACAGCTTTTCGGATGTCATTCCACGCTGCTTCGGGGTGAGCACAACTTACATGTCTGTCTAACTGTTTTTCCAGTTGTTCCTGAAATATACTCTTAGCTTGTTTATCATTAAGTAGAACCCTTAGAGGCTTCCCTGCAGTGTCTTTCCTACGTCCAGTAAGACGCAGACAGATACGTGCTCTCACTATAGCATGATCTGAGTCTAAACATGTGCTCCAGAATGAGTGACAGTCTTCTATCGAGCCCCTCCATCGGTGGCTGATAGCGATGTGATCTAATTGGGTCCAACGTTGGGACGAATTCGGGGGTCGCCATGTCAAAAGATGTTTTTCCTTATGCTTAAAGTTAGTATTTGCAAGAAATAGGCGGTTATCTGAGCATAATTGCAACAGACGGTCGCCATTATCTGTTCTTTTAGCCACGACACCATAAGATCCACCTAGGTGTCTTTCCCTTTCACTTAGTTTACCTACTTGAGCATTAAAGTCACCAGCCACTATTACTACATCAGAACGCCCAGCTTTTCGGAGAAGGTCAGAAAGTTTCCTGTAAAACTCATCTTTTATATCGTCTGAGCTACAATCAGTGGGAGAGTAGGCAGAGATGACGAAGAGACAACGACGAGTTTCCCTATCTTTCCGGGTCCTTACTGATCCGTTTGGTCGGACAGCGCATAGACGACTGTCAGCATCAGGGCTTCAAGATACACGAAGCGTGTGTCGAGATGAAACTTTATTTTGATTAGGTGAGGTCAAATGAATGACGCTACTCGGATCTTGTATGCGCGTTTCGGAGACGCAGCATACATCGATTATGTAAGATTCTAGAGTCCTAGCTAAGGAAGCCTGTTGTCCTATTTGGCATAATGTTCGGACATTAAAAGTTCCTACATGTAGTTTAGAGCGAGGTTTCAGGAGACCAGGAATAACGTTCCGTGTACACGAATCGTTTGCCCTAGCGGTGCGAGGTGATAAAAAAAACGTGGGAAGGGTTAGTCGTGGAGATAACAGAGTTATTAGGTGTAGGAAGGATTTGAAAGCGACCAACTTGGTCTCGTGTGCTGTTACGGGTATGAGGGCTAATATCACTTCCCGGCTGCCCACACCGTGGAAGGGTATTTCTTGAGGGACCTGAAAAAGAAGTTGGATTAGTGTTGGTCTGAACGACCTGGGAGCGTGACAGCAGTGCCCAAGGGACAACTGCTTGAGGCCGGTCACGCACGGCCTTTTTGTGGGGGATTTTTGAAGTGTTAGCTCCGTTCTTCAAAGGATCTTACCGCCGGAGACGGAAATCCGTGGGATAAGGCGAGGTGTGCATTTTTAGGGTCGTCCTATTCTAACCCCACCCCTCCTTGTGGGAAGGCAGCATCGCTGTTATGCTGGTTGTCTGAAGGAAACACCTTACTGACGTCACACCTCTGTACAGTCGGCAGTACGACTTCGCCTTCGGACCTTGGGATTGCTGCTTTTAGTCTCACCGCTCTTCAACCGACCTGTCTGGCATGGTAGGACCTCGAGGAACGATTGTTCCAGCCAGCATAGCTCGATTACTTCATCACGATAGGCAAGCCCGACCACCACGTCAAGGCTAGTAAACATCAGTAGTCATTACATGAATGTAATATCAAAGAGTAATAAGATTTCCATACGAATTACCCTGATTACTAAGAAAAAGTATGACCACCCTTAAAATAACGAATGAAAGTAAAATTATTCCTAACTTAAGTAAGGTTGATATTATTGTGTTGAACTCTCATGCTCATAATCATTTTTTGTATGAGAATAGAAAACGTCATCAGTAACATAATATACATTGCTTCCATTTACAACTATCAGATATATTAGACAGAAATAAAGAAACAGTAACACGCTATTTGTACCAATATATTGTTATTATTCTGTAGCTCCACAAATTCACAGAAACAAAACTTGGATCGGAAACCTGGCTTTATTTCAACGTATATGAGTTTCCAGGAGAAATTCATGTTATAACTATAACTTGAATATAATAAACTCTGACAATGTAAAGATTTACCTAGCATTTAGCGAATAAATATATAATAAATCAACTTTCTGAAAAGTAAATTGTTTTTTATTGGTTTCAGGTGAATTTATTAACAAAAGTACGTTTACTTGATTTATTTAAAGATGTTGGGATATAGACCTTCAACAAAGCCTGAGACATTTGTTACTATTAATAGACTTGTTATTCAACCTTACATATCCCGAAACAATCGAAGCTACGAAAGATCTGTTAACAAAGACTAGTTTTATAGTACTTACTAAATATCAGAATAACTAGCAATGCCACGGTCTACAAAGTCAAGAAGTGAAAAAAATGTTATTTTCCTGGACGGAAACCACTGATGATGTCTTCTGATGTCAAAACATGTCCAAGTACGAATTTATCTAAAGAAAACTAGTTAGATGAATTTAAAAAGGTAGCCCTCATAAGATATTGTGAGTTATTAACGCAAAATACTAAAAAAGAAACGTATGAGGTAATCATTACTTTATAAAAATTGGTTTCCTACAAATATTTAACATATTAAAACTCAAATATACGGAGTAGTAGAACTTACTTTTATGTTTCCTCTTGGATCAAAACCATCTAACTGATTAATTAGTTCAAGCATAGTTCTCTGAACTTCATTTTCACCCCCCAGGCCATCATCAAAACGGGCACCACCAACAGCATCTATTTCATCGAAAAATATGATACATGCTTTTTTTGATCTAGCCAACTCGAACAACTCTCTAACCATGCGCGCACCTTCACCTACATACTTCTGAACTAATTCAGATCCAATGACGCGAATAAAACAGGCATCGGTACGGTTAGCAACTGCTCGAGCACACAGTGTTTTACCTGTCCCAGGAGGACCAAAAAGTAATACACCTTTAGGAGGTTCGATGCCAAGATTGACAAATTTTTCAGGCTAACCAACAGAAACAAAAAAATCAAAACCTACAATTAAATAGACTTATGAATATAGCTTTACTTGAAGTACCTTTAAGAAGTATCAAATGACTTGACCATATGCCATTTTTATGACTGACTTTTAATAGGGAAGAAAAATAAAGACAACAGGAGTATCGAGTGGATGGAAACAACTTTAAAAATGGTCATAGTAAGACGAAGGTCTTAAAAACTCTTCATTGAATAATGAACTTGGAGAAGGAGATATATAAGCTAATTAGAACCACAACTTGCTAAGATTACTCTTACAAAAATAAATGGCATGACGATACCTACCTATAGCATAATTAGCCTTTACTTTTCAATAAAATAAGTGTGCTCTTGATATATAAGTATCTATTTGACCATTCAGTAATTTATCCAAGAGTTTATTACCCAGAGCTTATTTCAGTATCTCCGCAATCAATAGCTGCTATAACAATAAGTTATATTAAAAGTTGCATACTGAAAATCAGATTTAAAAAATATACGAACAGGTCTAATTACATTTACTGTTAATGTATAATGTCGGAAACGGTAGGCACTAGTAACTTCTGATTTGAAGGCTTATTGATTGATTAGATGAATAAGTATCGTTGAGCAGTCACTGCTGGTTGAACGTTCGTCAAACTGAAAATCTGCTTGCGTTGTGCCTATAGATTTACTTCAGGGGTTGTTTTACCCGAGAGAATTTTGACCCGACTTGCCAACTGGATTGATGTAGTTACATTAATCTCTTTTAGTCCAGCCACCAAAAGTACACGCAATATGGACAATATCTTACTTAATAGTCACCGACACAGAACTAGAAGATTGGATAAAAATGAAACGCACGATTGCCTTCTAACACTGGAATGATGGGGGACTGTCGGTTTTATATAGATAAGTCCTCGATTGCCGACTGTAATTTCATCTGAGTAAGTTCCACGTCACTGTCTCAATCGATAGGAAGGGAATTAGCTGAAAAGCTTTAGCGAACTTAGATTCGAGGCAGAGAGGATAAACCGGACGCGGCATTAGTATCAAAAAACTTGGAATAACATGGTTTATAACGACTAAAAATCATAACCGTATCCATTTTTATCTTCCTTTGGATCTTAAATTATAGTATCCAATCATACATGACATTCCACTTTTTTAAACTACATTTTCAAACCGGTTATTACAAATATATTATTTATTTATACATTTTCAATGCTTAGTATTTCTTATTATCAACCCTACTACATTTTGACTCCTTTACCATTCATGAGAACTTGGGTTAACACACATCTGCACTAGGCTCTAACCATGATCGAATATCAGACTGATTTGAAATGTTTAAGATACAGTAAACAAACGAGTTTAAGTGATGTCACTAAATGGATGTCTTAAGATAACGAAGATTTGCGGCTTAAGACGATTGCTTCCGTAAAATTGTGTTTCTCGGATTGGATGATTTGATAGTGAAGCTTTGATGAACTTTCAAAGTGACATATTTAGCACACCTAATTGAAGCCAAGTTGATAATATATTCCCAAGTAACTGCGTCAGGAACCTTTCTAGGGTTATCGCTAGTCCAAAGCCCTGATAAAGAAGAGTTGAGCGTACGGTTAGTAAACTCTCACTTGGCAAAAAATGAACTGCTACAAAAAAGGTTAGCAGCATAGTAGATGCTGAGCTGCCAGAATCATCAGAATAAACAGTAGATCTCTGTAGATGCTCTCAGAAAGATTTTTAAAAAAAGGAAAACAGCAGTTAACAATGGTAAAATAAAAGCAGATAAAGCAAAAATATATGCTGTGTATGCAGAAACAAACAAATGAGTGAAGGGCATTATAGCTGATGAGCGTAAACATGTAGAAGACCAAGCAAAAACGCCAGAAGCTACAAGAGGTAAATGAGAGAACTATATGATACAACAAAGAGGTTAAAAGCAAAATATAGTAAACCAGAGTAAACAAGGACAAAGAAGGTAAATCAATCAGGGGTTCAGAAGCAGCGGAATATGCAGATAGAACATTTTGAAGAGCTCTTGAATCTGTCAGCGCCACTTAACCCACCAGGCATGGAAGTAGCACACACAGATCTCCGTTTAGGTGTTAACTTGCCAACAATAGAAGCGGTCAGCAGAGTCATCAGACAAATCAAGAATGGAGAAAACAACAGCAAGACCAGATAGCATACCAGCCGAGACACTGAAGTTAGACAACTGCAAAGACTATCTATATTCTCTTCATAAAAAGTTGAGAGGAAGAACGAGTACCAACAGATTAGTAAGAGAAATACCTCATAAAGATACGGAGAAAAATGAAATCTTAGTGAATGTGAGAACCATTACATTACACTATTATATATATATATATATATATATATATATATATATATATATATGCTACCAAATGAAAAACATGAGGACGAATGTAAACAACACGAATTACAACTGCAGAATACTGTTTTAAATGAGGAAAACTACTGGAAAAAGCAGCACAACACTTCGTCTCCTTCAATACTGATTAGATATTAAGCATCATGACATACATTCACTCATATCAATTTATAAAGTGGTTTGTTGATATCAAATCAGGTGAGGAAATGGAGGTCTTAGGCAGACGTAGTGAGAAGACCAAAGAATTCTAATAAATCTGATAATCAGCAACTAGCTGATTAACCAGAGGAGCATCAAAAAATAGGTAATACACTAATTTTAAAAATATTTATGTTGTGATGTTGCAAACAATTTATACTCGATCTACTTGCTCCTGCTGACCAGGGAGACGATGGGAAGAGACGACGGAAAAAACCTGAGAATTGCTTATAACACAGGACGCATGGATGATATGTGAACTTAATTCGTTCATCTACAACTTTGGCTTGTTAGTCACTAAAAATTGTTTCTAATAATCCTGGAAAACCAAGACGTATTTAGGGGACTTTAATAGGCACTGTAATCTTCAGAAAATTTCCTAATTTAATCAGACGTAGGTTAAATGTGATCTGATATTGGTTGTTTTCTTATTTTTTTGAAGTGCTCAGGACATCATAAATAGGAGTCATCTAAGTGAATCGCTAGAAACCTAGGTTTCTGTTGCACACGTTGGCTTATGAACTTAATTATACGTACTTCGTACGCAGCCATTTGTCAACCAATCCATAAGACGTCAAATTATTCAAAGCAAGTGTTCATTACACTTACATGGAGTAGTGGTAGTTCAACGACTTCCCTTAACTTCTCGATTTGTTCTTTACACCCACCAACGTCACTATATGTGACATCCGGTTTGTCCTCCACTTGCATCATAGTTACGCTTGGATCGATTTTCGGAGGCAAAGGAATATGAATCTGGTATTTTGTGCGGTCGACTCCAACACGCATTCCTTCTTCAATGTCAGTTGGAGCTACTGTATCAGCCAGATCAACAACAAATTTAGCAAACTGTTTGACATTAATGATATACTTCGGTTCCTCGGTATCAGAATTGATTATCTTCGTACACCGTGCGACCTGCAGTGGATGTTCATCTAATTATAAATTATAGCAATGAAAAATCTACTTGATAAACAGGTTTTGTCAGCAGCTAAATCCCAAAGGGCAGGAGGAGCCAAGCCGGTGTCCGACTCTTTAAGTCCTACCAGAGAATAAAAAGATAGAAGAACAAACCTGTTAGCTCATTTACTCGTTTCATATAGGTCTGTATGTCTTCCTCACACTGCTTTATTTCTTTACTGTATGCAGCCGAACTCTAAGCAATGAAAATGTAAGAGAGAAACTTACGTATGTTTTCAGCAAGGCTATATCGCCTTCATCAAGAGCTAAAACAAAAATTAGAAGTAGCTTTGCTTCTTACCCTTAATAGGTTTATCATCATCTTTCTGATCTTTCGTTTTACGTTGGTCGGAACCCAGATAGTCTGGCATTTGCTGCGTAATGAAGTAAATCAAAGTAACCACCACAGTACAAAGCTCAATTTCAGACTCAAAATGGTTCAAATAGTTGTGGATGGAATAGAAGAAGCTTTCGCTTAACGGGCTTCCGTGTCTAGTAGCAGTGGATCACCAATACCTCCAGGCAAGAACCTAGATATATTAACGATAATAGAGGAAAGAAGAAATTGGTAAATCATAGTAATATATTATCCTTAGTCCTTAAGAATAGGTCAAGTTTCCTCTTAAAGGACTCCTGCGAAGTCGCTTGGACTAACTCAGTCGGCGGCGAATTCCAGCATTTGACAACTCTTACGGAGTAGAAGTTGTGTCTACAGTCTGTTTTGCTATGTTGGCTCTCCAGTTTCTGAGTGTTACCCCTTAGGTTAGTATTGTGACTAAGCTTAAGTAGATGTTTAAGGGGATTACCAGAAGTGTTAAGGTCACGCTAAGGTCACCTCTAAGACGCCTGTATTCTAACAAGTAAAGGCTAAGTGATTGGAGGCGCTCTTCATAATGTTTGAATTTGAGTCCCCGAACTGATTTCGTGGCTCGACGTTGGATACGGAAGGGAGGAAATACTATGTTTCCGTACTCTAAATGGGGACGAATATAACTGTTGAAGATTATGTGGAAAGTTCTACCGTCAAACTGACCCAAAATGCGCTTCAATCTTACCAGTGCTCAAACTTTGCTCGGTAGTGGGGGAGGGGTAAAAAGCTGTTAGTGTCTGGGATTTCCCCTCCAGTATTTAGAATAAGAGTTCACTTACCCTACATCATTCCTCTCAATCTGTTGTAATGTGGAGATCCAATCCCTCTTTGAATGTATCAAATACTGAGATGACGTGTTATTGTGTGGAATTCCAGTAATCCACTGTTCGCTGTGAAAAACGGAACTCTAAACGCTAACGATTTGATTTTGAACTTCACCAGAATGCACTGTCAGATAATCATTCACACATGGGAGGAAAAGATAAGTCACATTAATACCAAGATTATCGTTCATATACGATAAACCAGTATTTGACCAGTTTCAGTTTTAGTTTCCGAAATAACAGAAGGTTGACTATAGTGTTCTATCAGTTGGTCCAACTTTCTTTCAGAAGCATTGACTGATGGAGCTTCAGTTACGTGTTGAGCTAACGAATTCCATTCCTTGATTATTTGATGGGAAAGTCGATAGTCATGTGACAAGTAATTTATTCTGTGCTTGTGAACTTTTTCGGAGCGTACTAGTGAATGCTCCATTCTGTCCATGTCTCGTAACTGTTTTGAAGATAAGACTTGCTACTATGGCGTTTCAATATTTTAGTGATCTAACTTGTGCTACAGATATGCTTGAGGGATTCAAGACAAAATTTGATAGTTTCTCCAGTAACCTAGGGTTCATTTCATCAGTTCCCGTGGGTTTACCTATATCAGACTTATTTAGCAGACCAAAGACATCGGGTTCTTCAATGGTCACAGTGTTCAGAGTATGTGTGCGAGGGTTTGTATAAACTGAAGGGGATGACATCTCTACGACATACACGCTGCTAAAGTAATTCAAGGATACTTATGGATGGCCCACATGACTATTAATCCTTTGCCGGCGGCAGTCTTGCAGTTACTCGTAGTTTTGAGGTTGCTGCCCATTGTGACTACCAGATCATTACTTTAAGTAACACAACTCCACATGCTGTGTAGTGATATGAATGGTCTCAGTTATTTATTTACATCACCGCACTCTTGTTAGAGTTGACTTTTAATGACCGTCAACCCATCCATACAGCTAGTGAATTCAGGTCATTCTGTAATATTATTCTCTCTGACACACTGTATATGGGTCACCCAAGCTCTATATCATCTGCAAAGGGCATAACAAATGACTTTGTTACGGTCGGTAAGTCATTTGCAAAAATCTTTTATAAAAGTAAGAATGAGAGTTGTACCTTGACAAACTTCATTTTTTGTGTATTCCCACGACAATGAAGCCTTATTATCTCCTATCATTGGGAAAATCACTTGTCCAGCCTATGATTTCATAATAGTTCCCTAAACTTTCCAGCTTAAATTTAAGGCCCGGATGAGAGACTTTGTCAAGGGCTTTACTTTGGTCTATTAAAATTACATCTGCAAGAATATTTCTATCTCTTACTGCAGCCAAATCCTTTCTTACAACGAGCAGATTTATCGAGCACGATGGGTCTTTCTTAAAATCATGTAATCCCCAGAATATAAAGTCACGGCCTTTTACGTAGTTTAAAATAGCCATCCGAGTAATCTTTTACATTAGTTTGGCAACTATACTGGTTCGACTAACCGATCAATATTTATTAACCCAGTCTCCCCGTCTTATAAACCTTACTGATTACTCAGTCTCCCCAGTCTCTAGGCAGCCTAGACTGCCGCAAAACATACCGAAATTATGATCAAAGGTTCAGCCATTACATGTGACAGGGCCTTCATAATCCCTGGACGAATGTCTTCAAGATCACTGGAATTACCTGGTTTGAGACGAAATCGTAGGAGAGTTTCTTTCTTAATAACTACGGGATCCATCGATGAGCTGGCATCACCAGAATTATCGGCCTGTCACCGTCGCCGGTAAAAAACACCACTAAAATATACTGATAATGCTTCGGCTTTCGTAACATCATTTCTTGCCAATATCAACAGGTTTTTTCGTAGCAAATGTTGCGGGATTCCATCACACCTCAGAGTTCGCCTATTCATATACCAGAATGACTTTTTCGGACTATTTTCACAATCCATGACCAACTGCCTTTCATAAAAATGTCTAAACTTTCGAAACTCTTTTCAACCGTTTTTAATTTTACAATAAATGAACCTGTACTGTTCAGAGCCTGTAGATATAAACATAATCCAATGGACTTTCCTACGTCTAAGAGTTTTATTGACCTGTTTGGTTATTCATGATGGAGAGTTTTGGGTTCTACATGTTACTATGCATGATGTAAACGGGGATGTAACAAAGCTAAACGTATCTTTAAGTGTAGACCATGCCCCTTTATTTAACGAGCTAGTATTTACTGAGCAGTCTGTTGTCGCAACGCATTGCTAAATGGCTTATATGTTTGCTACACACATATGTGGGAGGAGTTTGGCCTCATCCCATGTTACTTTACAAGCTCTAAGCATGAATGACAAGATGATATGATCGCTATTCGCTAGAGGTTGGAGAATATTTAGAATGGCAACACGCTCGGCCACACGAGTGGTTACTATGTCTTACAAAGAAGGTCCTTATTTCTGATCAAAACGTGTGGGTTCGAATACACGCTGCACCAAAGCATGCTTCATTACTGTTATCAGGAGCCTACCATTGGAAGAGTTAAAATTAAATATCAGGCGTCTGTTATTTTTATTCCATAGCTGTGTGTGCTACAAAAGAAAGTCATTAACTGGACGGATTGGGCTGAAATTGGTGGCAACGAGAGTAAATACACAATCTTCAAAGGTGAGTTCACAGCTAATGACTTCACTAGCCCCACCATCATGAGATTTACGAACAAAGGGACGGATTTTTATGGTTTTAGCTATATGTATATGCACTCCGTTCCTTTCCTGGATTTCTTCCTATCGCTTCTTAGGAAGTCGAATCCCGATAATTCGTCCAATAACACTCGTGATTCATGGAATATGTTTACTAGACTACTAGCATCTGTATGTAAAACTCCTGAAGAGAATGACCTGCAATACTGACTTGGATAGCGTTCGATCCCAAGATCTGACTGCTTAGAAACCCAATAAGTTTAGATTTTCCTCACTACTCCATCGACGGGTGCCACCCTCCTTTCTATCCTATCTTCTAGAAACTCATCAGGTCGGAATTTAGCGTTATCGTGACTTCAAGCACCAGTTAATAAAAGATCTCGTGGTTCCTCCCGGACGAAGATTAACTTAGCTAGTCTATCTGATCGGGGTTCAACAGTTTATTAGATCCTCTTATCTATTCGTATCAATTATTCGACACGGACTCCTGTAGAGTTGTCTATTAAGGTGTTGGGAATGGATCACCCAGCCTTTTTCAGATCATGCACATGTCTAAATTTCGGATCAGAGTAGCTCAATTCTAGAAAATTACTTGCTGTAAGTGTCGCATAAGATTAACCTTGGTTACTCAAAGGTGTGCTTCATGTTTTATTCGCTTATGAACACCTAAGGATAAAACGTTAAATTAATATGTCCTCAAACCTTTTCATGACGAGTTCATAAGCATTTAAGTTATATTGGCCTATGAACGCTGTATGTGTGTTGGTATCTCATCTGAGATAGTAATTCAGAAGAACAACACTTTGAATTTCTTACTGACTGTTTATGCTTTCTGTCTCTGTTAGCGGAACATAAATTGGATTAAAGCATGTTTCATGCACGATTGTGTCACTGCACGCTGATTGGCTAATTCCTATTCAATCAGCCCTAGCCGATGCTCCAAGAGGACTCTAGAATCTTCTCATGGAAAGTCTATAAATATACTAACGTATTTCTTATTGCGCTTCTTACTTCATCTACCCTTTGTTTTTCGGAATATAATTTCTTCCCTGTTCAACCGTGTTTTGATTTGGGGACTTGTCGAGTGTTTGGTGTTCAAGAATACTAAGCGATAGGAATAGCTTGGTCGTAATAAGGAATATTATAAAACAGTCACAAAAGTCTCCCACACTTTGTTCGTGGATGTAATAATCGTATCCGTTAGCTTTGTGGATTGAATTTATTCATAGATCCTAGGTCCAGTCGATAGCACCACTACGCATTGTAGTATATCAGATTATCCATGTACTTCTTTTTAAATAGTCTACAATCAGACGAAACATGTGACATATAAATTCGATGTTGTATGCAGGCACATATGTTCTCGTCAGGAGAGTCGGATGATTGTTATAAATTCACACCTAAAATACGCTCTAGGTGCCACAGGAATTAAGGCGAATTCTTGATTCAATCTCCCAAATTTTCTGAAGGGAAATCATTCAGGGTATGTGATTTAATAACCATGGAATAAGAACGGGAACAGACATCCAACATATCACAAATGGTGGTATCTAGGCCAGTAATCGAGGTGCAATTCAGGGATCCTTTAAAGGGTGCGAGTTGCAT